ATTGAGCAGCTTGCTTTGCATCGATAGGCTTTGGCATATTGTATAAGTATACCTTTTGAAAAAGCTTTAGTTACTTGACTCAATGATTTTGCATGGCGTGTTGGCTTAGCATGTTGCATGAGCATTAAACTACTAAGCAACTTACGTGGCGTTGATAGGCTTAGCGTGGGCTTTTATTATAGCCTTGGCATGATTACTGCTATAGCTTGTTTAGAAGAAATCCTTCTAGTACCCTTGCCAATGTAAAGAAACGAATGTACCAAAGATTTTGACAAAATGCTCATTCATTTCATTAAAATTTGCGGTACATTAATCGTTGCATGGCTTTACAAGACCTTATAGAGTAAGCAAAATGATCATTGCCTATAAGGAGCTTGTTCTTCTAAAATAAGCATGAACATTTTAGCAGTAATACAACTTTAGCCACTTTGCATTGACAAGCTCCGTTAATGTACCTTCTTTGACCGAGGTCAAGTAGTAGTAGCCACTCTGATGAGCTTCCTTGATCACAAAAGGTCCGTCCCAATGTAAGGCGAAATTCGAAGGTCCGAAGATTTGCCTTCTTATGTGCTTGCCTGTCTTGAGGACGAGATCTCCTTCCTTGAAGTTGCAAGGCTTGACTGTGCAGTTGTAGGCTTTGGTAACTAGTTGGTGGTATAAGGCCGTTTTCCTAGTTGTTTCTGCTTTCTTTTCCTTGAGTAATTCAAAGTCTTTCCACCTCTACTTGCTCATGTTGCAGCATCCCATTCCAGATCATTGAATGCTAAAACTCTTGTTGTGGGCATCATCATTTCCACAGGGAAAATAGCTTTGGACCCATACACCAAGGAGTAGGGAGAGAAACCTCTAGCTTTCCTTGGAGATGTATGATAGGCCCATAAGAAGTTTGGAAGATGAGTGCTCTATCCCCCAGTGTAATTATGTACCATCTTATTTAGGATTCTTAGCAGTGTCTTGTTTATGGCTTCAGCTTGACTATTTTTCTGAGGATAATACGGCGTGGAGCAACAGTGCTTGATCCTATAAGCATCAAGTGTAGCAGTTACTTGTTTGTTCACAAAAGGCTCATTATTTTGTAAGGTATACCAAATCGGCAAATGATGCATTCCCTGATGAAATTAGATACTACCGCTCTCGTTGCTTTCCCGATAGGGATTACCTCTACCCATTTTATGAAGGATCCATATGTGACCTTCGGAAGCTAGATTGATTGTTCTTATCAAATCAAGCCCCCAAGTATGGAATGGTCATAGAGTGTGCATGTCTTGCAGTAACATTGGAGACTTGTGGATTAAGTTTCCATAAACTTGGCATACATGGCATCGCTTGACCATGTTGTGTGTGTCTTCCCTCATGGTTGGCCAATAATATCCTAGGTTCAGCAGCTGCTTGTCTAGTTTATTTCTTCTTTGGTGTTTGCCGCATTCTCCGGCATGTATCTCTTACATGATTTGTGATGACTCCAATGGCCCAAGGCATCTCAATGGTTCCCCATTGAATCCTTTTTAGTATAGAGTTGCCTTATCCACGAAGTACCTTTTAGCTGTCCCTTTCAACTTGTGTGCATCCCTGACATTGCTTGTTAGTGTTCCATCAATAAAGAAAGTCAGGTATGGGGACCTCGAATCATCAGCGATGGAAACTGCAAGTGCCTCATCTAGGGAAAGTGTTATACGACATTTTGGACAGTCGGCTTGGATGCATGTGGCTTGTTACTTCATCTCTGACCAGTAGTACCCTTTTCTTTGTAGTCAACAGTAGTGACTCACAACTTGGTCGACTCTGCATGTGGTCTCATGGATCACTGCAACCGCCTTTGTGATTCTTTTAGTCCGAGGCATCAGGTTAGCACTACTATGGGCAAACGTTTGTAGAGTGTCCCAGTAACATTGATGTACTTCTTAAGGTATTTGATGTTGAACTCTTTACTTAGCTTAGAAAGTTCCCTTCTGACAGTTTCCCTTCAGTTGTCACATTTTGGAGCTTTCTCCGAGAATGGTGCGTTAATGGTGAAGGCCTCTCTTCTAATTACAGCAATGTTGGGTTGTTCTTCGATGAAGGTAAGCTTGGAGCCAAGTATAGCTAGGGTATTCGCAAACATGTTGATTGTGCCGAGAATGTGTTCCAACACCACCTGCTTGAAGCTTGCCAAGAGTTTTTTTGGCCAGAATGCAGTATGGTGCCAAGGTTATTTCCATCACCTCGAAACTTCCTTGGACTTGGCTCAAGACCAAGTTTGAGTCCCCTATGACTCGTATCTTCCTTGCACCCATTTCCCTGGCTGTGGAAAGACCTATGATGAAAGCCTTAAACTTAGCTATGTTGTTTACACATGGAAAGCTTAGCTTGAAGGTTAAGGCAGTGACTTGGTCCCTTTGATTGACAAGTACAATACCAGCTCCTTCTCTCGTGGTTGTGGAAAAACCATTGAAATGCATGACCCATAGCTCATCTTATACCCCTAGCAACGCACCAGGGACTTCCTTGGCAATGGTGGCCTCTTCTTCCTTGGGGAATAATGTTAGCACGTCTATCATAGCTTGGCCTTTGATAGCCTTAGGTGTTACACATATAATATCGAATTTGGAGAGTTGGAGTAACCAACGAGCCAAACGGCCAGACAGTATAGGTCTAGTAAGCAAGTACTTTACCGGGTCAGGCTTTACCATAAGGTGCAATTTGTGGGCTAGGAAATAATGGTGCAGTCGTAGTGATGCGTAGACAAGAGCTAGGTAGAGGCATTCTATCTTCTCATAGAGGGTTTCAGCGCCTCTTGGTTGTCTGATGACATGGTAGATTAGCGCTTCTTCCTTGGCTGGACTGTCCTGGGCAAGTAGGGCTGCTACGTCAGTGCTTGTTGCGGCTAGGTAGAGCTTGAGCAGAATGCCGAGGATTGGTGCCTTCATGGTATGAAGGTTGGTGACTAGTTGCTAAACCCATTGATAGGCTTCACTGTATTCCTTGGTCTACACGAATTCCTTCATTTTCCTAAGCAGTGGGGTGAAGGCTTCTGATGTTACTGTTAATCTTAGGATGAAGCGCCGAATGTAGGATAGCTTCCACATCAAGCTTTTTAGCTCGTTTGCGTTTGTTGGGGGTATGAGAATTCTGATGGTGCGCACCTTGTCTAGATCTATATTGAGGTTGCACTAATGCACCAGGAAGCCCAGGAACTTGCCTGAGAAAACACCAAAGGTGCATTTCTTGGGGTTCATCTTTAACCCATATATTCGGCATCTTCCCAACATTTTCCTTAGCACTTCCCAATGCCTTCCCTGGTCTTGGATTTCACTATGAGATCATCCATATAGTCTTCCACTTCCTTCCCCATCATGTCATGAAAGATTGTCGTCATTGCCCATTAATAGGTGGCATCGACATTTTTTTAGTCCAAATGGCATGACGGTATAGTTAAAGTTTCTAAACGGCATGAGGAAAGCCGTCTTCTTTACATCTTTGGCAGATATCTTGATTTGATTGTACCCGCTAAAACCATCCATGAATGACATCAAGCCTTGTTGTGAGGTTGAATTGATTATGATGTCTATGTTGGGTAGTAGGAACTCGTTTTTTGGGCATGTTGCATTGAGATCTCGGTAGTCGATGCATATCCAGATTTGGACAGTGTTCTTCTTTACTGGGACGATGTTGGCTAGCTAAATGGGGTGCTTGATAGGCTTGATAAATCTGGCTGCCAGGAGCTTTTCTACCTCGACTTTGATTTTAGCCTTTATTTTCAAGTGGAAATTCCTCATTTGCTGCATAATAGGCTTAATCACAGGCTGTGTATTTAGCGTATAGCATACTAAATTCGAATCAAGGCCTGGCATCTCTTCATAGCTCCAAGCAAAGATGTCCTTGAACTTTTTTAGCAAGCTGACTAGTTCTTTCCTTTCCTCAGCAGTTAAGTAAACACTAATAGAAATCAATTTTTTGCATAGAGGGATCATCACTTAGGTTTACCTCTTCAAGCTTTTCTGCCACTACAGTGGATCCATCCTACATGCATTTTGGTGCATGCATAATTTTCTAAAGGGTTTCGTCCTCAGCAACAGGTGCAGGCGTGTCTTCAGTTTCATTGGAAATTTCACTTGCTTGGCGTGCAGCGCCTCCATACTCGGGGTTTTCCCATGCAATGTGGTGAGGCCCCCCAACCCATCATAAGCGGTAGACGACTCGGCCGTTGAGAAGCACGACCTTGGAGCATTGAGGTGGAGTGTAGGCAAGAACATTGACCTCTGGTTGTATGCGTTCTCCTTTTGATTGGAATTCTTGGTCATTGAGATCTCAGACTTCTTCCCAAGGGGGGAAAGGTGGGCAAATGTCAGGGTAGGTACAAGCCGGGCCCAATTTTGAAGGAATCAAACCCTACTTGCTTCAAACTATAACGGGATGGGTCAAGTCGGGTACATAGAGTTTTAGTTTTGGAACTAGACCTTACTTGACCCATTTCAAACGGGCCGGTTTTGAACGATTCCACTGGTCCAACTTTTTTTTTTTTCTTCCAAAAATACATTTTTATCAAATGGAGCTACAGCCGCTACACTGCAGTGCACAACAGCAGCACATATTACACTTACACTTATAGGAGTATTGAAGGCTTGAAGCAGAAATTGTGCACAATAGCACATATTAATATAATCCCAAACCTGTTTGCCTACCCCTAGGTGGATGGATGGGGAAGAAAGAATGGAGGGTTTGGTTGGGGTGGGCCCCACTCCTCTTATTTAATTTTTTTAACCAAAAATTACTTTTTAAAAATTAATTTATTTTTATAATTTTATTTTTTTCATCTATGTGGTCTTCGATGTCAAAAAAGATATAAACCTTATATTTATCACGTCATCACTTAATGTCCAATTTAATAGATTAATTAACGAAGGTCTAACATTGCAACAAGGTATGACATTACAATATTTAAAAACATAAGGTATAAGATTGTACTACCACCTATAGTTGAGACGGCTTTTTGTAATTTACTCAAAAATAAAATATACATAAATCGAAAACTGCTCCTCTTCGACTTCTGGAAATTAAACGTAAGAACTTAAAAATATAGGTTACCCCGTTCAACCTTCAGCCCAGTGAGGCCAAGGTGGATAATCATGCTATTCAACCAAGGTTAAGAGGCGATTCAAATTCATGTATGCCTAAGTTGCCAACCACTGCCTAAAACTTCAGAAATACTAGCAATTACATGTCCCTTGTAACCCTTTCAACACGCGACATTCGAGTATATAAGTTTCAGGCTTCAATGGTATACATCTGTTTATCTGGTTTGTCTAAGAACTTTCAATGTTAGGCCTGTGTTCTACAACTATGTGTTGCATTTTCGTTTGCAGCCGCAGATCTGCAGCTTAGAAATAAACTCTGGAAAAGCCCGAACAGGTAAAAATAAGTCGTCCCCTGCGAAAGCGAAGAATATATGAGGGAAATAATGGTACAATTGCGGAGACCAGACTGAGTTATATACGTAGGCTAATAAAAACGCGAGTGAATAAATACAACATAGATCAGCATCTCATGAATATTGGACCACGGAACCAATTCTTCCGTAACTGAAGGTTGACATTCAACGGAAAACACAGTTATACTGTACATAGGTCCATATGAGATAGGCAAAGCTAATCCAAAATAGTAAAAATTCAGTTTGATAACTCCACTCTTTCAACAGGTGAAAATATGAAGTGCAGATGTTAGGTATAGAATTTTACCTGCTTTTATAGAGTTCAAGGCAACCTTTTATCCAATTCTTGCCTGTAAAGTGCTAAACTCTGCATGCAAAAAGTGTAGCAAGCAGCAAAATAAAACATCTAGGAACGATGACTAGAGAAAGAAAAATTGGACTACTAGGATTAAGCAACAAAAGAACAGATAAGAACATAGAGAAAAACAGAAAGGAACAAAAAATATAGAAGAGTATTTTTGCCCGTTCATCACCCTCGTGATGGTAAAAGACCTATTTTTGACATCTAACTACCATAGTTAAGGGACTATGGTTTCATGTGCCAACTAAATCCCCTTTCGTGTAGATAATATCGTTTGTTCAAAAAAAAAAAAAAAAAAAAAAAAAATCAAGGTATGGGTCCAAGATTCAAAAATAAGGTGGGCCCAATTTTCCTCAGCTGAACTAAATTTTTTTATACAGACTAAATTCATTAGCCAAAACAAAACGTACCCTAATAAAAGCCTAAAATTAGGTATTGACTGAAAAATATCTAAATTAGAGTTTTTTTTTTTTTTTTTTTTCCCTTTTGTAGGAAAACTAACGAAAAGGGCTTGAAAGTTTTGAGTTTTAACGATAAGAACAAAATAAAGTGAATAGTACCAGGATAAACTATCTAAATTAGAGTTTAGAAACAAAATTATAAACCAAATTAGAAGAAGAATTGGAGTATTAAGAAGAAGGATACGAGCAATGCTGAAGAAGAAACAAGTTAATCATCGGGAATGGACAGTGGACTATCGAGACTAATCCGAATGAATAGGCTTAGTTCATTTCTTTTGGGTTTGAAGAAGTATGTGCAAGTGGGATGGTTGGATGGATATGAGTTGGGTTGGCTGGAACTAACCTAGTTTTATTTCTAATTCTTAGAACTAGGATGGGCTATAGCCACCTCAGATTCCCTGGATCCATCCCAAACTCATAAAAAACCAATATCATTGATTATTTGCCTTATAGTCTTAGAGAAATGACTTCTGCAATCCATTTTTCCCCTCCTGCACACCCGTCCATTTTTCTAGCCATTCGGTTGAATAAATCAAAGGAGGAGTGAGGGCCAAAATTAAGAGGGATGTGCATAAAGTTAAAAAAAGAGTGCACAGATCACTTCCCATACTTTCAATGATGACAAATTCTGAAGGACGTGTGAGACCTTTTACTGCCTTGGCTAAACAGCATTGAGCCATGTTGTTTAAATATCATGACAAGACTAAAGTAACATATTAATTTAAAGCAACTTCATGAAATAGTAAACATGAAAACTATATGCCTCTTTTTTTCAGGAATGAGCACAATTGAAATAGGCACAGTATAGTAGAGGAAGGAAACAGGTTTGGGACATGAGCATTTGTGCGGCTCTAGGGTGAATTCATGAACACAAAGAGAACCCAACTAGGCATAACTCATTTAATACTATTAAAGATAAAGAAAAATATTATAATCAAATTCAATTGGTCCCATCTTAAGCCAATCACTCTTATAACCAGAGGAAAAACTAGTGTGAATTATCAATTAGTTTTAAGATTATGTTGCTTATAAAAGTTTCAAATTTTGAATTGAAAGCAGCGTTCATACTTTAGGCCTTTCAAGTAAAGCTTAACCCTGATTCTTTTGATAAAATAGCCTAAACTCTATATGTTTCAAAATATATAGTCTGAACAGTCTCCAAACCTCTGATTGTTCGGGATTGTTTGAATGAACACACTACTCCGCTTCCTTGAAGCCCCAAATAATTGAAATGAATTTGAGGGTAATTGAACACCACACACAGCAAGATGCAATGTTTCAAGATTGCAACAACCTAGAAGAGCAGAGAGTCCATACCTTAGTATACGCATAAACACCAGGTTCTGTAGGTCCAACTGGACTTCCCCTCCTCATAAACTCTCCCTCCTTATAAATATAAAGCAGTGGTACTCCGGTTGATAACTCTAACCTAATAACCTGATTGACATGAAATACTGAAGATTATTTTTACTAATAGAAAATACTCATAGGTGGTAGGAAATTTTGAAGGTATGGTTGTTACCTCTTGAGAAGTTAGTCTCTCGAGATACATAATAATAGACCTCAATGAATTTCCGTGGGCAGCAACCAGAACGTTCTTTCCAGATTGTAGTTGTGGTTCAATCTGCAATGTAATCTTTTCACTTCAGGTACTTACACATCAACATGAGTTGAACCTCTAGAACATACACCCAGCTTTTAATGGGAAATATATGTTAATATCAAATACTAGAACTTATCTGCTTACCTGTTCTCTAAAATAGGCTACAGCTCTTTGAGAACACATTTCCAAACTCTCACCACTGGGGGGAGGAATATCATAACTCCGACGCCACTCATGCACTTTCTCTTTTCCATATCTCTCAGATGTCTCCAGCTTATTAAGACCTTGTAATTCACCATACCTGTAGAATACAACAGCTGGTAATGCTATCTACTCAACTTCTGTTAAATCTAAGATGATTGCAAGTTAAAGAAAAAGTAAATAAGAACGTACATTCTTTCGTTTAATTGCCAAGCAGTTATAACTGGAATTGATTGCTTTTTAGTATCTCCACTGTAAATTTGACTCCATGTTTCTGCCTGTCTACTCTCGTTATGCACAATGATTGGCACCTGAAAGCATAACAAACATGTTTATGTGAATTCGATATTCAAGTAATGATTTAATGTATTTCTCTAAAAAACAGTCTAATTAATAAGTCAACCATAAAGTTAGAATATCTAGATTTTAAATGGTAAGGTCAAAATCAGTTTGCTTTCTCTCTCCTTCGGACCTGTCTTGTAAGGCTGTTTAACAATATTGTGTTGCAATCACAAGTACAGTCAACCTGCTAGATGCTAATCATGGTAACAAGGCCTGTGAGTGCTGCAAAGACTTTTGAACTTCCCCCGATGGTTTGTTTTGTTGTTAAAACCTTAACGATTAATATTGTGAAAAGTATAAATTAACGAGTGAAGGAACCAGAACAAAAAGAACCACCATTTTCCAGAATGTGCATTATACTGGTTTGTTATGATCTACACCAAACAGGCAACAGAGAGTTCTAAAAGTCCCTGCGTGGTTGATAAAAGTATGAAACAAGAATATTTGGGTGGATATCTCTAACAACTTTAACCAAAAGTCCAGATACAAAATATAATTGGATATAACTTCATATAAACATCAATATCTTAAAGATCTTGTTGAAAAGGTTCAACTACATTTTCCAATCTCAAAATCAACAGTTGACTTTGTTCTATACATAAACGTGATAAATCAGTGGATGGAGTATTCACATTATCTTTGAAATTAAATTGGAGAAGCAATGATGCATTGCTTTGGCTTAGGTGGAAAGTTATGGGTAGGTTCTAAGGTCAAAATCCTTGCCATAAATATGAAATTCCTAGACCGCTCACATATTGATGCTTCACACCCTCCACATGTGTTGCTGATAAATGAACCAATAATGTACTTAACAAATTACCACATTTATAGTAACGATTCAGTATTTCAAAAGTAAAATTTGTCAAAAAAATCTCAAAACTTGAGCAAGATACCTTCTTCCGGCGGTGTTGAGTCATGGCAAGCATAGCCGTCATCTGTGCACGAATTAGCAAAGATGTGTAAATCGTATCTACAGGGATGTTGCTAATTCTCTTACCAGCTTCTATTGCTTCATCAACACCTCTCTTGGTTAAAGGCACATCAACACAACCGGTGAACAAGTTCTTCTCATTCCACAATGATTCGCCATGACGAATTAAGACCAAAGAACTTTCACCTACAAAGAAGAGTATAGACACAACAATTAGCAGAGGACTTGCCAATTCACAAACGAATAATTAGTGTATTGAAAAAGAAATGAAAACACTTGATATCTTTTGAGCATTGTTGGCAATACCTTGCGAGGTAGACAAAATTGGATCAGTTGTCGAAGCTTGGGAAGACGATGAACAAACTACGTGCAGTTTACACTGTCTAGAGCTACAATGTTCTTTTCTAAGCAGGCGAACATCGACCGCAAAATTTTTGGAGATAAATCTGAAAGATGACTGCCTACAATTTCTGGCAGAGCCAGTCTCACCAACAGAACAATGGAGGTGAAAGATTCCAACAGGAGGGCGAAAAGCTGTCGCAACCATTCTGCTAACATCCAAAAAAAACCCAAGATCAAAACCAAAGTTAAAAAGGACGTCGAAAACCACATTGAAACAACAATTTCATTCCTTTTTGACAATGCAGAGTTACTAAAAGTAAGAGAATGGAATCTAATTCCACCATCAAGCTGATACCCAATAATCATCATTCAATCGGGTCTTTTTATAAAATTTCACTGAAAAAAAAAAGTATCGAATTCATGAAAACAAAAGCTGCAGAGTTTAGATTTAACTACACAGGACACAAGTCAGCTCAAATGAAGAAAAAACCCAGATCGAAGTTTCATTCCGAATACGAGTTAATATACCTTCTCAATAAAATAAAATAAAAAAAGGCCACAAGAAAAGAAGGAAATACAGAAAGAAAATGAAGGATCATGCTTTGGAGTTTGGAAGAGTCAAGAAGTTACAGAAGAAAGAAACAGCAAAAGTTACTCACATGAATGGAAGATGGGTCTGTGGGGAATCTGCGAGTGGACTCGATCTGCAAAGATTTGGAGGGAACGATGCCTTAAGAGAGAGAGAGATGGAGAGAGTGTATAAAACCAAGATCCACTGTTTCTAAATATCTCTCATATATTGATTTCACAGATAACCTTACAATGATGCAGCAGTGTATATATAGACAAAACACTGCTCTTACAATTACAATTATATCCTTGACTAATCTATTTATTTACATAAGAATCATAACAAACATTTAACTAATATTGCTTGACTCTTTACACCCCCTCAAGCTGAACTTGGAGGCATCGAAAGGTCCAAGGGCAAGCTTGGATTGCAGATACAGAAACCTAGATTTAGGCAGAGATTTGGTATGAATATCAGCTAACTGATCTTGAGAACACACATACTGGACTTTGAGTAGATTAGCAAGGACCAACTCTCGAATATAATGGTAATCAAGTTCAATATGCTTGGTGCGAGCATGAAAGACTGGATTGGATGCAAGAGATATGGCAGACAGATTATCACACCAGAGAGAAGGGACCTGAGGAAGCTGGAGACCAAGATCTTTTAACACTTTGCAAATCCAGGTGATTTCAGCGGCTGTGTGCGCTAATGATCTGTATTCTGCTTCAGTTGAGGAACGAGCAACCGTGGGTTGCTTCTTAGCACTCCAGCTAATAAGATTGGATCCCAGGAATATGCAATAGCCACTAGTAGAACGACGATCGAATGGACAGCCAGCCCAATCAGCATCAGAATAGGCAGTAAGATGAACATTACCTTTCGTGAACCACAAACCATGACTGACTGTGGCTTTGAGGAATCTGAGAATACGTTTGGCTGCTTGAAGATGTGGTTCGCGGGGAGCATGCATAAACTGACAGACTTGATTGACAGCAAAGGATAAATCAGGTCGTGTCCAAGTGAGGTATTGCAAAGCACCCACAATAGATCGGTATTCGGCTGGATCAGATAACAAGGGACCAGTGTGATCGAGTTTGATAGATCCAAGAGGAGTGAGGCATGGTTTAGCACCATCCATGCGGGTCTTGTGAAGTAAGTCAAAAATATACTTGCTTTGATGTAAGAAAAGACCAGCAGCAGATCTCTGAACCTCAAGACCCAAAAAATAGTGCAAAGGGCCTAAATCCTTCACAGGGAAAACAGTACTGAGTGTCTGAATGAAACGTTGACAAGCTGCAGGATTTGGACCTGTGACAAGTATGTCATCGACGTATACCAAGACAAAAACAGGAACAGATTCTTGAAGCACAAATAAAGAAGCATCAGATTGAGATTGATGAAAACCCAAGGATTTGAGTTCTGCAAATAATTTGTCAAACCAGGCCCGAGGGGCTTGTTTCAATCCATACAAAGATTTACGAAGCTTGCAGACATGAGTCAGATAATTTGGATCACTGAAACCAGGAGGTTGCTGCATGTAGACATCTTCCTGAAGGTCACCGTGCAGAAAAGCATTACTGATATCCAATTGATTAAGAAACCAGTCATATTGAACTGCAAGAGATAGAAGAATCCGAATGGTGACAGGTTTTGCAACAGGACTAAATGTTTCCTTGTAATCCAAACCAGCTTGCTGATGAAATCCTTTGGCCACAAGCCGGGCTTTGTAACGGTCTATAGTACCATTGGGATGTTTCTTAACTCGAAACACCCACTTACAACCAACAATATTTTGTTGGGAGGTAAAAGGAACGAGAGACCAAGTGCCAGTGGACTGCAGAGCATTTATTTCATCCTGCATAGCAGCCCTCCAGTGAGCATGTTTTGAGGCCTGAAGATAAGTTGTGGGAATAATATCAACCGTATCAGGTAAAGGGTGTTTGGTGGCAGAGTAGGCTTTGGGTTTAAAGATACCAGCTTTGGATCTAGTGATCATAGGATGAGTATTAGGAACAAAAGAAGGGGCAGAAGAAGGATTCACTGAAGAGTGCTCAGGAGAGGTCACAAGAGGTCCTGGAGCAGCAACAGGGACTGGAATATCCTCATGAGGTACTGGAATATCAACAGATACTGGAGGATCCGCTGGGGAGACAGGAACATGAACAGATACTGGAGGATGCACATGAGGTACAGAGTGAGCAGCAGGGATTGGGAATTGCAGATTGACAGACGAATTCACTGGAGAAGTATCAGCAAGAACATTAGGAGCACCAGAAAAGCCAGATGATAGACTCTGAAAGGGAAAGGTAGTCTCATCAAAGATGACATGCCGAGAGATATATACTCGCTGTGTAACTGGATCAAGACAACGATACCCCTTGTGTTGAAGACTGTACCCAAGGAAAACACAGGATTTACTCTTGCTGGCCAACTTAGATGTAGTATAGGGTTTGAGCCAGGGATAACAACAGCAACCAAAAATTCTGAGTCGAGAATAATCTGGAGGAGTGCCAAAGATAAGTTCCCAAGGAGACTGCAGTAGACCACCAAGGGGAAGGCGATTGATTAGATATGCAGCAGTGGAAAAAGCTTCAACCCAAAACAAATGAGGCACTTGAGATTGCACGAGGAGTGTACGAGCAGTTTCAACTAAATGACGATGTTTCCGTTCAACACATCCATTCTGCTCAGGAGTATGAGGACAGCTAAATTGTTGCAAAATGCCATGAAGTTTAAGAAAATTCTGAAATTGATGACTGGTAAACTCACCCCCTGAATCAAAGCGAACAACTTTTATTTTATTACCAAGAGTGTTCTCTACATAGGACTTGTACTCCACAAAGATTGAAAATACAGAAGACTTGGACTTTAAGGGAAAAAACCAACTATACTTGCTGTGATCATCAACAATAAGCAAGTAATATCTATAGCCACTCCCTGATACAACAGGAGATGGTCCCCAGACATCACAGTGCAACAAATCTAGACTTTTAGTAGATACAGATTGATGAGTACCAAAAGGAAGCTTGTGATTCTTTGCTAAAGCACAGTCTTTGCAGAAGAAGGCCAGAGAAGAGGTGCCTTGAACAGCAACTTTATTGGTAGACAAGACTTTGCGAAAAATAGCAGAGGATGGATGACCAAGTCGGCTGTGCCATATACGAACATTAGCAGAAGTACTTACAAGTGCAGTAGGAGTATGAGTGACAGAAGAGAGAGCAGATGAACCATGAAGCGGAAAGAAGCCATCTTTAACTTGGCCCCGCAAAAGCGTCCTCCCCGTAAAACGATCCTTGACAGAGGATCCATGAATGTCAAGTGTTAATGAACAATCATTATCTTTAATAAACTGATAAGCAGAGAGAAGACTATGTTTCATTTGAGGCACATGAAGAACATTTTGCAATTTAAACGAGTGAGCAGGAGTATGCAAAATAGATGGGCCAATATGATCTATAGACAGACCTTTACCATCTCCGATGTACACCTTGTCTTCACCATGGTAGGGAGTAGGAGATTGAATATTGGATATATCATTCGTAATGTGAGAGGTAGCACCCGAATCAATGAGCCAAGGATTAGAGGACTTTGCAGTATAGTGAGCACACATGGCAGCAAGTTTAGCTGGAGGAAACTTGCCTGAGATTTCAGGATTCATTCTGTCGAAGCAGTCAAGAGCTTCATGACTAGTAGAGCCACAAATTTGACAAGGAGTTTTGGATCCTGAAGAGGAAACATGACGATTGAATCCAGAATTAGAAGATCCTCGAGTGAAACCAGAGTTGAAATTCCCACGATTGGAACCACGATTGTAGCTGCGATTAGAACCACGGTTAAAGCCTCGGGTAGAACCACGATTGTAGCCTCTGTTAGAATTATACCGAAAAGAATTTTGAAGTGGTGATGCGCCAGGATTGTGAGCAGCAAGAGCTTGGGGTGGTGTAGGAAGAAGAGGCGGTTGGCTTTGCACAGAGAAGGCATGAAAGGGCTCAGAAGATGAAAGTTTCTTGCGACGCTCCATGGACAACTCCTTAGTGAGCAACAGGCCATGTAATTCATCCAACGAAGTAGAAGAAAGGCGAAGTAAGATGGAATCAGTGAAAGATTCAAAATCATCAGTAAGACCTGCAAGAGTCGCAGCAATGAGATCACGATCAGTAACAGATGCACCAGCGGCAGTGAGAGAATCGGAGATCTCCTTGATTTGTTGAAGATAGTCAGCCATGGATTGAGAGCCTTTCTGAACATTTTGAAGCTTCGAACGCAATTGATGAATATGTACATCTGAAATACCACCAAAACGCTGCTCAAGCTTGAGCCAGAGATCACGAGCAGAGGAGACACCGACTGTGAACGGAATAATTTCCTCAGATAGCGTCGAATTGAACCAGATAAGTAAATTCTGATCTTTCTCATACCATTGCTCAAAACCTGGATTGATGGAGCGATCTGGAAGAAAGGGAGATGGACAGGGCTCAGTGCCATCAACAATCCCTAGAAGCTTGTAGCGACGGAGAATCGGAGCAAACAAAGCTCGCCACGGCAGATAAGTGGATCGTCGGAGCTTGATCGGAACCATACTGCCAATGTTCTGAATCGTGAGAGAATTATAGATCTGAGAGGTATTGAGATTTGGGGAAGAGGAATTAGGGTTTGAGGGAGGCACCGACTCAAATGGAGAAGAAGAATCAGAGGGAGACGCCATCAAGATTTCAAGAAGAGGAAGCAAGAATCTGAATCGAAGAACAACACCTCAAACAATCACAGCGGAGAAGACGATCGGAGGCGATCAGAGAAGAGCGGAAGAGGGCAGGATCGAAGAAGCCGTGAGGCGGTGTGGCGATGGTACCATGTATAAAACCAAGATCCACTGTTTCTAAATATCTCTCATATATTGATTTCACAGATAACCTTACAATGATGCAGCAGTGTATATATAGACAAAACACTGCTCTTACAATTACAATTATATCCTTGACTAATCTATTTATTTACATAAGAATCATAACAAACATTTAACTAATATTGCTTGACTCTTTAGAGAGATGGAGAGAGATATGGGGGTTTTTACAAATTAGCGGGGGAAGTGGGGAAGGAGAAACACAGAATAAGAAAGAGGTGGCGGAATTCCTGTTCGCTTTTCCCACGGCAAAAACTAACATTTCACCAACCCCTACCTTAGAGCAGCTCCACTGGAGCTTTTGTTGCCCAGCCCCAAGTCCAAATAACAGCCCGGCATGCTCCATATGTGCTCCAGCCCGCTAACTTGCCTGGCACCCAGCCCGTGCCAGTCAAGAGCCCAGCCCAAAATGGACAGACCCATTCCCCGGTCTGTTTCTGGCGCGTGCACAACACGCGGGAGCGCGGGCGCGTAGCCGACAGACATGCAGGCGCTGGGGCCCGCGTGCAGACCCACTTGCAGTTGTCCGGGTGAAGGAAACGTGGCCTCCTCAGAGCCGTTGGATTTCCAACGGCTAGTTTTTTAGGCCGTTGGATTTCCAACGGTAAAAAAAATTTCAATTTCAATTTTAAATTGGACCGTCCGATCACAGATCAACGGTCCACGTTTATTTCACCAAAAATTAAAAAAAAAAAAAAAAAAAGGCCCAACGGTCAGAAATTTGACCGTTGGCCACGTGGCATAATGAGTGCTGTTGGATTTGATTATTTTTCAAATCCAACGGTCCCGATTAATTACAACATTAAAATTTATTAAAAATTAATTAAAAAATGTCAAAAATTTTTTAAAAAATACAGAAAAATTTTAAAAAATTAATTTTTTTTTTTCTATAAATACCTAACCCTCATCTTCCATCTGCAAGGTAGTATGGTCCCTCGTATTTAGTACCATTAACCCAATATGTGCATCTCGGCCCACGCCCTTGTAGCAGTTCGTCAAACACTGGAGATTGGGCAAGGACATTTAGGTCATTCTGAGCTCCTGGAACACCAAAAAAAGCATGCCAAATCCATGTATCAAAAGAAGCCACCGCTTCCAGAATGATGCTTTTGGCTCCTTTTCTGTCGCCATAAGCTCCTTGCCACGCACTTGGACAGTTTTTCCATGTCCAGTGCATGCAGTCGATGCTTCCAATCATGCCAGGGAAGCCTCGCATCTCAGCCTTCCTCAGAAGCCTTCGCATGTCCATTGGCGTGGGTTGCCGAAGGTACTCATTGGTGTAGAGGGCTTCAATTGCAGAGCAAAACCGCATCAGGGACTCCAGAACTGTTGTTTTTCCCATCCTTGCGATCTCATCCACTTGATCTGCAGATGCTCCATATGCAAGCATTTGCAAGGCAGCCGTAATTTTTTGCTCAGGAAGAAGACCTAGAACATGAAAAGCATCCTCTTTTTGCACAAAATATGGATCATGGTTGCAAACATCACTCATGATTTTAGCGAACAAACTTCGTTGCATTCTAAAACGACGTCTAAAAACATGATCAGGGTAAACGCTGTTGGGAATAAAATAATCTTCCAAGAGATCTTTACCTCGTCTTTCCCTTCTTCTATCGATGTTTGCCGCACGTCCGGGTTTGGCTATCTGACCCATAACTTGCATGATACGGCGGGAATGTGAGGCCCTCCGCCTTCTATGGTGATCATCGTCATCCTCCTCCATTGTGAAAGCCTCATCTCCACCTCCACCTTGGTCAAGATTGACCAATTCTTCCTGTTGTGCCAACAACCTTTTCTGCTGCTCTTGCAACTGTTTATACGCTCTCCTTGAAGAAGACATTGTAAGAACTCAAGATTTGAAAATGATAAAGAAGAATTCTGAGCTAAAAAAAAGGATTGAGTTTAGTGTGAGGATGGATGTAGGGATGTAGGGTTTATATGGACAAAAATAAAGAAGATGAGGTTCAGGACAATGCCACGTGGCACTACGTGATTGGTTGAAAATCTTAGCGGAAATCTATTCAAAAAATAGTACGTTCGGATAATGACACGTGGCGTGACGAGATTGGTTAAAAATCTTATCAAAATCTTGCCTAAATTATTGTAAACAGGAAGTGACACGTGGGTTGTCGGGATTGGTTGAAAATCTTAGCGGAAATCTATTCAAAAAATAGTACGTTCGGATAATGACACGTGGCATGACGAGATTGGTTAAAAATCCTATCCGAAATTAAAACTTTTTTTTTTATTATTTTATAAAAAAATTATTTAATATTTTAAATGGACTAGGTGCCAGCGCATTTTGTAGGGGTGGAGATCGTTTGTGCCAGCGCATTTTTAGACTAGGTGCCAGCACATTTTTTTTTGGGGTGGAGATGCTTTGGCCTATTACTGTTCATTGAGTCTGTTACTGTTCAATTAAGTGGATAAATGGGCTGGGTGCTAGCGCAAAGTGGATAGGGGTGGAGTTGCTCTTAACGACGCCGTAGTCTCCTTCGAATCTAATCAAAGGGAAATGATTTTTACACGCAAAAACTTCTGTTTTCTTTGGAAATCCGATTTGTATAAATAAAAAAATAAAAAAAATCACCGGATAAAAATGAATAAAAAAATGTGAGGAAGGATAAAAAAGACACAAGTGATATAATTGTGTATATTTTTTGCATTTAATGTGTTTTTTGTCACATCGTATTAGGTCTATAGTGGTATTCGTGATCAAAGTAGGGGTAGGCTCAAAAAATTGAAAACCAAAAAAGTCGGACCAAATACCGTACCGAAACAAAAAAAAAAAAAAAAAAGTAACTGAAAACCGAATTGGTTCGATTGCAGTTTTGGTGTTTCAAAAATCAAACTAAATCAAATAATATCAATTAATATTTTATTTATTTAACAAGCTTCAAATGGTTTCACAAATGAAGGAACGATCTAAACTAATTGACATTGAAAGGCATGTGAGAGCCTTTGAAGATATTCTCTACGGTTTTGAGGAGCCATTGGTTGGGGGAACGCCCATTTAGACTTCAGCAAGGATTGTTGATTTCAACCCATGTGGAAGCGTGATCACCCCACTCCTAAAACATCTCACAAAAGATCTAAGATGTGGGATTGTGATTTTTCTAGGGTAAGAGTAAGTTGGATCGAAATATGCCTACCTTAGAAGTCCAGTCATGGACTCGACTGACTTCATTGCGGAGCTGACTGAACAGATCAGTGATGCCACCAGCATCCTATTCTGGAATCAATAGGCGAAGTCCTTCGACTTTGCTGAGATAGACCATGCTTGTTTGGTAAGATTCGAGAACCTAATTGCACAAGAAATCAAAAGGTTTCCTATAATCTTAGAGTCCGTACAATCTAAGGAGTGATGTGTGCTGCAAGTAATCACACTCCTGAGAGGATGCAATATCTACTTCCTAGATATCTTCTGGGATTATCCTAGTTTAATAAGGATTCTACTATCCTCAACTGGTATAAATACATCGTTATAAGGTTCATATTTGGTAATGCAGTCTCTGTATACTTATTCTTTTGCCCACTGTGTGACATCCCACATCGCCCAGGGGAGTGATCCTTATATGTATATCCCATCCCTACCCAGCACGAGGCCTTTTGGGAGCTCACTGGCTTCGAGTTCCATAGGAACTCCGAAGTTAAGCGAGTAGCGCGCGAGAGCACTCCCAGGATGGGTGACCCATCGGGAAGTTCTCGTGTGAGTTCCCAGAAACAAAACCGTGAGGGCATGGTCGGGGCCCAAAGCGGACAATATCGTGCTATGGTGGTGGAGCGGGCCCGGGAAGTGGTCCACCCCGGGCCGGGATGTGACACACTGTTTGGGCCTTAATATTGCTTACTAACTTGATCGTTAGAAAGCCTTTAACCAATACACACCCCCTCCGGTCTTTGGCTCTCACAACGGTGGCAAATTTGGTTCCAACAATTGGTGCACTCGTTGAAAGTTAAACTCAAGATTCTCCTAACGAGATCACTCTACCATAAACACGAATGTTGAAGAAAGCTTTGTCAACACCATTAGCATCAACCAGGCATTTGATGACGGTCTGACCTCAGATGTCTCTGTTGCACAAGTCAAGGGTAACATTACCCGGATGCCACCACTACTCGAGAGCAAGCAATCAAACTCCTAAGGTGACAACCACCCCAGAAAGTAGTAAGGATCATTGTGAAAGGCCCCCTCTACCATGGAACATGTATAGGATACTTAACTAAAGATCAACTCTACTATGCAGCAAACCTATGCTGCCTCCCGTGCGAAGAACCAGGCGAACTTTGGGGATATGGAGAAAATGATGAAGGCTTTGGAAAACTCCAGCATGACTACCCTGAAATATTAAATCCCCGTCTTTGGCTATGGCAACATAAGCACCATAACCCCAGGTGGACAACCCATCGAGCTAACTTCTACTTGGACCCTAACAAACATATTTGATACAAGTAGGAGCTTGCCTCATGATGGTCAAATTGTCCGCCATGCCGCCACAGCCAAGATGCAAGCTCTGCAAAATCATGGACCCTCAGGAGATACCAGGGTGCACCTAATGCAACCTTGACAATTGACTTTCAAATAACTAGAGTCTTCAGAAGAGCTTAAGAAACGCTGGATCACTGACATGGAATAGTCGTAGATAATCCAAGAGATACTTCATTGTGAATACCTGAAAAGGTTGTCATGAAAGTCAGAAGCCCACTCACTTCAACAATCGAGTCTACTCTTCCACCATACCAATTCTCTCAGCCCAGCTTTAAATATTTCATAAATGACATGGATTACCATATCATGCATTACAAGAATGCCATGATGTTGTATAGTAACAACGATGGGTAGATATACAAGATGTACCCTTCCACCTTGAAAGGACCAACCATGAGATGGTTCTTGGACCGACCTGGCCAATTAATTACTTCAAAAGCTTAGCTGAGATTTTTACCAACATCTATTTCTTTTATCGCAACATTTGGAATTAGCATAAGGTCATATTTGGTCTAGTACAATAAAGCAAGGATGAAAGCCTCAGGGCTTACCTGAACCGATTCCCGGCAGAATTAGCTGAGGTGGAAAAACCATGCAGCTTGCTCAACACTATAGTTTTCAAACGGAGACTCTATGCACACTTCTTTGTCCCATAAACTAAATGACAAAAAGTA